GAGAGATAGACCAATGCAGTGTAATGTCAGCCAATTCAGGCAGAAAGCAGCTCTATTAGCGGGCTATCAGGACTCTGCGTTCCTACCAGAACTCCCACAAACGGCAGCGGTGTAGATGAACACAACCATCGTCTGTGAGCGATGTGACCACTTATATGTTCTTACATTTCCTTTTCTCACCACTACAGTCAAAGCTGCTGTACAAACTGTCACATAAACATTAGAACTGGCAGCTGGAGTGTTTAGAGGAGACCGGGGCTAGTTGTCACACAAAGAAGGTTTTGAGCAAAACAAAAACATGTTGTTTTAAAACGCTTTTGTCTTACATTTCTGCTGTTTACGGAAATATTTTGTATTTCATATGTTTTATTGGTTAAACTTAGGTTGTTTAATGGGAGGTTTCATTCAGAATTATTATCGTTAACTAACTAAAATCATAAAAATAAATTTCATTACTTGAAATAAAATGAATATTAACTGAAACAAAAAAAAAAAATTTTTTAATTTTTTAATTTCAGGGTTTTACCATTTTATTTCTGCTAGTTGCCAAGGCTACTCATTTTTTTTTTAGTTTAAGTGGTAAAATAGCAAAATAATTCAACTAAAACTAAAAATTAAAACTTCATGGCCCGGTTTCACAGATGGGGCTTAGCTTAAACCAGGACTAGGCCTTGGTTAAATTAAGATATTTAAGCAGCTTTTACAAAAATGCCTTAGAAGAAAACGTTACAGGTGTGAATCTTGACAAAGAACAAGGGCACTGACATATTTTAAGATATGTCAGAGCAAGATATTTTCAGTTGAGACAGCTCAAACCTGCATTTTAGTCTGGGACTAGCTTAAGCCTTGTCTGTGAAACCGGGGGAATAAGACCTATACAGACATATTGTAAAAAAAATAAAAAATAAAAATCTGATAAAATTACAAAAACACAACAAAATTACTAAAACTAAAAAATAGGGGGGAAAAAACAGAAAATATGTAAAAAAAAAAATAAAAAAAAATTATAAATAATAATAATAATAATTTCTAAATTATACTATATAAATGATACTAAAATAACACTGACAACATGCACTAATAATGGACGTGTCAAGTCAAGTCAAGTCACCTTTATTTATATAGCGCTTTTAACAATACAGATTGTGTCTATTCTATGTTTAATAGGGAGCCAGTGCAGTGTTGACAGAACCGGGCTAAATAACGTGTTAAATAGCCATTTTATAGTCATGACTTCTTTGAGTAAAAATGTGACAACTTGTCACGGTCTTTCATATACAAATGAAACCCTCTGGATTTAATTGATAAAGAGACATGATCCAGCCTGCCCTGTGTAAAAACATTTATATTTATATATAAGTACATGTGTATATATATATATATATTTTTTTTTTTTTTTTT